GGAAAAGTGGAGCAAGCAAGGGAGATGTTTGTTGATTGTGTTGTGCGATTTTTTCACGATTGGTGATTGGTGATTGTTTAAAAACGCGATTTGTTTAAGTAGGGTTAGTTAATGGTGCGAGTTGTTGCTTGCGGCCTACGAGGGGCGGTTTATTTTTTATGTTATGTTTTAAATTAAGGCAGCATTGCTAAGGGGCGATTAGTTTTTTCGTGGTGATTGTTTTTAAACGTGATTCGCTTAAGTTGGGTTAACAAAAGGGTTGGTGAAAGTCGACGCTTGCGGCCTAAGAGGGGCGGTTTGTTTTCGATGTAGTAATGTGTAACGTTTAAAATTGGATGGTTTGAACAACGTACCCTTGTAATATGAGGAATTGCGAGTCAGCCATTTTATCCAGCAGCAGTATTGTATATATAAACAACGGTGGCGCACAAAAACATGAACAAGAACGGGTCGAGCACCTTTACGTACGACAACGACAACGACAATCGTCCGGCATCAGTGACCGCATCACAACACGAGAGTTTGACTTGTCTTCTATGTCGGCGGCACTTTAACGTGAGTACGGGTCAGGACACCCGACGGGTTGCGGCCCGCCCCGCCCAGTCTCGTGACATCGCTAGTCGACGGCCGCCAGCTGTCCGAGTCCGACATGCAGCCGTCCCAACGCACCACGACGGAATGGGAGCGGCCGCCAAGCCTGGCGGCGGCGGCGCCGGCGCGCGCTCCCGCTCCCAAGTCTCTCTCTCTCTCTCTCCGAGTCTGCCACCGCCCGGCGAGGGCGGCGCGCGCGGTGTCGCCCCCGCGCCGCCCCCCTCTTATTCTCTTTCGGCGGCGGTGGCCTTGCCGTGCCCCGAACGCATCGACTTGGCGATGCTTTTGCGGGGAATTTTGCTGCTCGACGGCGATGATGTTCTTTCAAAACATCGTTTAGCCTAACCTACTTAGATTTATATACAGGGTGTCCCAGAATATACGGGCAATCTCCCGGATTCAAATAGAACACATTAAAATAATATGACAAGTTCCTATATATTTTTTCCTACGGCCCACTACCATAATGATCAAAAAAATTCAATAACTTTTTTGTTAAAAATAAATATTATTTTTTCATTTTAAAATGTGTTAAATAGGAGTTATTACGTATAATTAACTATATTTTAATCAATTTTTTTTATTTTTTAAATACGTTTTTAGATTAATATAAAGCACTGTTTTGCAGAAATAATTTATAAACTTAAGTATATTTCAATAAAAAAAATAAAGCGTTTTAATTTTTAATTTAATTTAAATTTTTGGAATATGCATCCATTCCTCACTCCAAAACCATATTTTTCAAAATCCTAGCTGATCCTCTTTTTTTATTTATTTGCAATTTTTTGGATTTTTTGCAAAAAGTGATGTCTAAAATTTACAATTTTAGGCGGACTCCGCTAAAATATTAGTATGACCTATCAATTTTCAATAAACAATCAAGAATTAAAATATAAAGAGAGTCGAAAAAAAAAATCACTATTTATATTTTTACATTTTTTTTATAAATCAATAAAAGCCTAGAGAAAAAAAGAAGTTTTTTCATAATTTAATTTTTATTAATAATAGTAATCTTTTAATTTATTCATTTAATAATGATACCTAAAATTACTTTACAGAAAACTATGAATCATTTATAAATTGTTAGAAGTAAAGTCTACTACAGCTTTTTTTAAATGTTCACCATAATCAGGATGTTCAAGTAAATTGATTTTATACTTATTCCAGTATTTTATAAGGATCGACTCCCCAGCCTGCTCAGACCATGTGCCCAACCCAGCACCGTTCAACAATCTAATACAATCTTCCGTAGACAATCTTCTCAAGCGCTGGAACCGAACTGTATATATATATATATATATATATATATATATATATATATATATATATATATATACAGGGTGTCCGGTAAAATCCATATATTCTTTGAGTTAAAACAATAAGACTTTCATAACACCATTTTTCAATTTAGAGCTTCATGTTCGATATACAGGGTGACAAAGTTTGAAATTTAAAACTGATTTTTTTTAATAATTCAAGTAATTGATAAGATATTAAGTTTAAATTCGGTACACTACTTTAACATAAATAGTTACATTTTTTGAGACCAACAAAACAAAAAACAATTGTCAAATAACCAAAATAGGGGGGTCCAGTACTCACTGACTCCCCCTATTTTTTAGTACGTGCGCCAATGTCTTCCAAACGGTATTTTTTGAGGTAATCATTTATTGTTGAACATTTTTTGTCTCTTATAAAATTTTGATAAAATGATTTGTTTTAGAGATAATTTGTAAAGTATGGGTCAATCCATATCAAAGTTTTGAAATTTAATTTTTTTTTGAAAAAGTTTAGGTCATGTATTATATCATAAAAAGGTCTCTAATAGGCCTTTAAAATAAGCCATCAATCACCTTTCTACTTTTAATAGTTTACGAGATATCGCTATTTTTGCAAAACCCAAATTTATAGGAATTTTTTGATTTTCAAAAATTAATAAAACAAAAACTACCCATTGAAAAAAATTCATATATGGGATTTTTGAGTTTTTTAGTGAGGTAAACAAATTTACCAAAAATAATCAAAATCGGAGATGGTGGGGGAAGAACCTTTGGTTGATTTGATATGGACTGACCCATACTTTACAAATTATCTCTAAAACAAATCATTTTATCAAAATTTTATAAGAGACAAATTTTTTTTAACAATAAATGATTACCTGAAAAAATACCGTTTGGAAGTCATTGGCGCACGTACTAAGATTATTTGACAATTATTTTTTGTTTTGTTGGTCTCAAAAAATGTAACTATTTATGTTGAAGTAGTGTACCGAATTTGAACTTAATATCTTATCAATTACTCGAATTATTAAAAAAAATCAGTTTTAAATTTCAAACTTTGTCGCCCTGTATATCGAACATGAAGCTCTAAATTGAAAAATGGTATTATTAAAGTCTTATTGTTTTAACTCAAAGAATATATGGTTAACGGATTGACCTCCTTTTCCCGGACACCCTGTAGATTCAATTGTGTTTTTTTTTTTCAATTTACTGAGGTGTTTTGATGTTTTTAAGTATAGCTTGAAATCTAAATGATCGATTTGGTCAAACAAGCCCTTAAGTTGAAGAGTATTTTGACACTAGCGATTTTAATAACTTAAAAAATTCGTTTTTATGTGAAAAATTGAGGACGAAAATTTACATATCGTCCTGGGAAAGGTTTAAATCAAACAGATAACTACTTTTGATCTCGGATAAGTATTTTAATGATAATAAATAATAACGAAAAGGAACAAAACTAATGAAGTTAGATGTCATTTAAGGCGTATTCATGCTCACTTAAAATAAGAAATAAGAATAAGAAATAAGAAATATGATCGCGATTGATCGTTCATGCTGATAACATAAGAAATAAAAAATCTTGTCACACAATTATATTTTATTATAGTGGATTATATTGTCTATAAACGTAAACAATCGACAGCGACACTCAACGCGATTTCCAACACCATGGCTCCATGGCCAGCACATAAAACCCATCAAAATAATTCACAGACCCATTTTGGTCCTTTGCGCAGTTTTATACGCAAGAATAAGAACCAAAGTTAAAATTTGTTAATCTTTATTCTTATTTCTTATTCCTTATTTTCATGAGCATGAACGCAACCATTACTTTACACAGTTTTAACTTTTTATCTTATTTCTTATTCTTATTTCTTATTTTAGTGAGCATGAATGCGACTTTAGTCTGTAAATTCTCTACCAACTATAATATAATATTACTAGAATGTTGCCCTGTTGTCATATTGACGCCTACAAAAGGAATGCTCAAGTTAAGAAAGCATTTAACATATGCGGTTCAAACAAAGGCCGACTTAAAATAAGCTATACTTAATAAAATACAGTGCAAACGGGCATTAATGTTAAAAAAAAATAATATTTATAATAATTAATAAATTCAACTAAAACTTATGAGCATAGATCTGTGGGAACGAAAATTTTGAGTGCGTAGTTATTACGAGCGCTCGCGATTTAGCTATGCAGCGCGATATTAAAAATTCATAACAAAAGTTATACTTAAATAAAATAATAATTTTAATTTTTTTTTAAATAAAACAAACTCTATCTTATATTTTTCAAAAGACGCTGATATTCATTGGGAAGAAGTAAACAAAAACAAATTCGGTGCGTGTAGTCCTAAACATTGCGCTCCCATTGGCGGCCTTAAAATTAAATAACTCCTGTAATTTGGCGAGTTCAAGAAATTTCGACTAAGATTTTCGCACTCTTTGGTCTATTATAATTAATTAACTATAGAACTAATTACTGCAGGTAAAAACTATTATAACAATTTAATTATACTTAAAAATGTAATTCATTTTAGATTAAAATTGTATAAAAATAAATATAATAATTATAAATATACTAAAAAAGTAATTAATGTTAGATTAAAATGAATAGTATTTTTTTTAATTGTACAATTTATGTACTATTAATTAAGTGAAACATGCCACAAATGTAAAATATTTTATTATAAAATTTTTTGGAAGAATATTTTTTTATTTTAAACCCCTTTCAAGAATCAAGAATTTAATTATAGATCAGAGGGTGTCACGAAAATACAAAAAACGAAAAAGACCTTCTACAGATTCCTGGAGACAAAATAGGTCGATTAAACGCAACTTACCAAAGTTTCTTCATTTGGCCGCTAGATGGCCTTTAGGGTTAAAACATGGATTTTAATATTATTTACTTTTTTTGTTTTACAGGGTGTTTTACATTCGTGGTCCATTGGAAATTTCTGGGAAACGAAAAAAATCGATTTAAATACTTTAAATTATATTTATTTTCGCTAAATAAAATTTGTTTGACTATAGTCAATTATAATTAAATTATTGTAATAAGCCAGCAACTAAAAATTATTAAAATATTTATTTTTTATGTCATTTAAATTATATGTATACTTACCTCCTTTTATTTATTTTTTTATACAAGGGGAATTAAAAATAAAACTCGTTCGTTTAAAATTGTAATACACATACAACTGTTTATTGAGACATATAAATCATCAGTCCTCTCATATTAAATTGATAGACGATATACATAACAATACTTGTTTGAAGCTGGTGCACCAAACAAATTACCAATAAAATATTAAACAATAAGAAGTGCAATTTGATTGCACGTCGTATTGTCCTAGACAGTGGTATGGTGGTGTTTTTTTTAATTATTTTATTTTCGTAAAATTGCGTTTGTGTTACTATTAGGCATACAGTTCTAGTACATATTGAATGAATATTATCTACATCACACTAAACAAAAAAAGTAGTATTAAAAAGAAAGAAGACAACTTTGTTACTGTGTAATGAAAGGGACATGCCAGGGAAGCAAAAAAGCAAATATGGATCAATTGATAAACCAAAAAAAACATACAATTAAAAATACGTATCATTACGGGTATATAATTAAAAATTACAAATAAGATTAACCAATCATAATAAACTGAACCTAAACAATCGAATTGCAAATAATGAGTGTTTTAGCTGTAACGTATCCTGCTCGGAGCAAAAATTACTTTGGACAGTAACTCAGTTCGATTTGAAAAATGATTAAACAAATGTTCTAGTTCTTGTGCCAGAAACAGAAGTATATGCTTGATTGAACTCCTTATAAATTACTGCTAAAAACATCACAATGCAAAAATGCATTCAGGATAAAAATATATAATTATATTATACATAATAAACGGCGCTCAGATTTTCACTCCGCGAAATTTGCCCCCCGACGCCCCCCAAAACGCCAGACCGCGGCCGCAGCTCAAAAAAGTACCGAAAAAAATTCCTTTCTCGATGACGAAGAGAAACGAAAAACAAGAACAAAAACAATGACGTGCGGCCAGTGGCGTGACGCTTGCGGGCGGTGTCGGGGAGCTGTTGCATTAAGTAATAAAAAACATAATTATAATAATAAAGGATGCCGTCTGCAGCCAGCGCCATCTGGCGCATTCGGCACCGATTCAAAAAAGACTGAAGGGTGCTCTTTCGAGAACTCGAGATTTTGCGATTTTAGCATCGTCAATTTGCGTGACGAAATGTTGCAACAATGTGAGAAATAATTTCGAGTTCGCGAAAAAGCGCCCCCTATAACAGGACCGGGTGCGTCCTCCCACTCTTATTGTATTAATATTAAACGTTATTAAAATTTAATGGTGTTCATAAACCACTTGTTGCTTATTAGCCATCAGAATCAAGGGGACGCTGCACCGAACAACTCGCATAATAACCAATATACATACATAAAAAATATAGTTTAACTTGTATACACAATTTTTAATTTCAAGAGACAACTCATCATCAATAAACAAATACAAAATTTTGAAGCATCCAACAATTCATAAACCAAAATTAACAAGTTAAAAAAACGAATGCAGATAGGTTTCTTTTTGTCGAACAAAATATTGGGGACATCAGGGGTCGGTCACTAGCACTCAGTCCCGCGGATCGAATTTAATTTTTTTATTTTTTTTTCGAATAATTTCAACGCGGGCTTTACACTACTCCACACTTAGCTCCAGGAGCCGTAAGAGTCTTGATACCAGGTCTGGTCATCGTCTCCGTTCACGTCGGCCGCCCCCCCGCCTCCCAAAGGCTGCTGCGGGAGGGGCTGGCTCCCCCACTCGCTCTGGAATCTGCGTTTTGTCTCCCCTTGGTTCTGGTGACCCCCGTCAAACTTCCGTTTACCTGCTGAAAACAACGAACCGAACTTATACACCCCGTATTACGTCCGGAAATTACGAGCAAAAAATTAATCCTGAACGAAATTTAGCCACAACACATTTTTCTCTGAAATAAGTAAAAATAAAAGTTTTAAAAGTCTTCTATTAAAAACTCAAAATAAGACTTAAATTAGTAAGTCATACTAAAAGCAAGATTTAGATGTCTTCTGGAAAAATTATTCTGAATTAACAAGACTTTCAACAGAGAAATGATAGGTACATTAAAGTATATCGAAAATATGGTTTGGGGTGATAAAAAAAATTATTGTGAAAGTTTGAGTCCATAATATTATAATTAATTTAATTTTTTTTCCTCGGCATGTTTTAGGCTCAGAACTCCCAAACCATTGAGTTTAACAAAATTGACTTAAAAATATTTTTTTAAGAAAATTAAATGCTCTACAAAAAAGGTTAAAGTGAAATTTTCCGTCAGATAAACCGTTTCCTTAAAATCATGCCTTAAAAATTGGTATAGTTTTACATTTTGATCTTTTAAATTGGAATTTTGTAATTCATGAAAAAATCATTACCCATAAAAAACCCATAAATATTCTTATGGGAAATCAAATGCTTTACAAAAAAAGCCTCTTAACATTTTTGGCTAAATTCACTCAATCAAAAGTTATTCAATGTTAAAATTTCGTTTTGACTTAAATTTAACCTTGAATAACTTTTGATGGGGTGAATTTAGCCAAAAATGATAAAAGACTTTTTTTGTAGAGCATTTGATTTCCCATAAGAATATTTATCGTTTTTTTCAGGGTACTTATTTTTACTTAAATTACAAAATTCCAAAGTTAAAAGATCAAATTGTAAAACTATACTAATTTTTAAGGCATGTTCATCTGACGGAAAATTCCAATCAAACCTTTTTTGTAGAGCATTCAATTTTCTTTAAAAAATATTTTTAAGTCAATTTTAATAAACTCAATGATTTGCGAGTTCTGAGACAAAAACTTGGTCAGGAAAAAAATCTAAAATTGCGATGATAGACCTCTTAATATTAATATTATGGACTTTCACCATAATTTTTTTTGTCACGCCAAAATATTTTCGATATACATTCCAAAAAAAAAATAGTCGATTTTTTTGACCCAGTCTAAGGTACATATGGCTATATTCGAAATTATTCAAGTATTTGGCTATTGTAAAATAAAACACAAAGAAATGTATTTATTAACATTATTTCTGTGTTGTTATAAGCCAAGTTTATTGCAGTTTATCACAATTACAAAGTCGAAACATAGACAGGTACATCTCACTTGTAGAATACATAAAATGCACTTGTATTCATCATAAGGTGTAATATTTATAACAATTATAATTTTTGCAATGCATACGATGCGCTTGATTTGCTTTCATTGTTGCCACTGTACGTTATATTGTGTGTACTGGGCGACTGTAAACGCAATATCGATTTTCTCGGCTGACCAATTAAATCGCAATGCGACTTAAAATTTTAAATTGCGACAAAATGAGATCTTTTGGGTGAAGAATTTATACAATGTTTTATGTATTACGTCATAACTTTTACTTTTATCGACGATATATTTTTAATATTTATATATTTTAAATTTTATTACCTTAAAATTTTTCTCAACTAAAAATTTTAGGTTTACATTTATAAATTTCAACAGTTCACTACTGTATCAATTTTTGCAAAGATTTTTAACTGTCATTTTTTAATAAAAATTATTTCTTGGTATATTTTATTTGGGCAGATTTTTTAAATTCTAAAATAAATATTTTATAAAATTATTTAGATTAAATTGGGATATTTCCATTGTAACGGGTGCGACACTAAAACTGCGTTTTTTCATGATAATAAAGTGTTTGTTCATATATATCAAGATACGTTAATATAAAAAAATAGTATAAAAAATTTAACCCAAACAAAATGTCAATAAAAACTTGTATAGAAAACCTTTATAGCGTCATGAATAGCGTAACGGGTGCGACCTTAGAAAATTGGCTATGCGACCAAGTTGGCTTCTATTTGATACTGTAAAATTTTGGATGAAAGCATATAGTAATAATTTTTTGTTTAAAACTTATAGTAACCTTAAACAAGCACGTAGTTTAAATGCACAAAAATTGCATACTTTTTTTATAAAATTCTTAATATTAGCTTCTTAGCATCAAAATGTACGAATATTTTAAGGTTATAAATTACGTCGCAATTAAACTATTTGACTTCAGATATAGTTGTTATTTTGTTAAATAACATTTAAAATAAAAACACATATAAAACATTTATTATCAAAATTTTTTAAACAATTGAGAATCAAAAAATATTATTAATTTAAAATTCAAATGTAAAAGTTTTTTAAAAGTTGTTGTTTTAATATTTTATTCTACAAAATTATTGGTTTAAATTTAGTAATTTAAATAGTCGATAAATTTGTAATACAAAAATTCTCACATTACATTTAAATGGTAGTTTTAAATTTTGGTAATTTTTTGATTAAAAATTTATCGAGTATCAACTAAGTGAGTCTTGAGAAATTTAAACCAATAACTTTTATTTTTAACAAATTTAAATTGATACATTTTTAACACAAAATTTATAACTTTACATTTAAATGTAAGTCTATAATTTTTATTTACAAAGTGCTGCTTTAGCTGACTGCATATGCTACGTTTACACTTTGTAAATTAAAAATTATCAACTTACATTTAAATATAAAGTTATAAATTTTGAGTTAATTTAAAATTGTTAAAAATAAAAAGTTTTGGTTTAAATTTGTAAAGAGTCATTAAATCGATAAATTTGTAATTCAAAAAGTCGAAGTTTGACTCTCATACACATACGTATGCGTTGCAAAAATATATAATTGTTATATTTATTACACCTTATGTAACCAACGAGTGATCTGAATGTACACAAACCAGATGAATGTATCAACTGTTGTTATAACCCTTATAACAACACATAAACAGTGTTTATAAATACTTTTTCTGATGTTTTCTTTTACAATAACCAAATAGAATATTTATTTTTATCTTTAACTCTTCCAGAAGACTCCCAAATCTTGCTAATAGTCTAAAGAGACAGTAAGACTTTCAAAACTCATATTTTTACTTATTAAACATTTTTCAGAGCAAAATTTTCACAAAGGTACTCCAAAAATAATCTTTTTACTTAAATTTCCTTCAGGAATCAACTCCCAAGTGTTAGCTCATAATTTCCGGACACATTGTACACTAACAAATAATACACCTATAGCATAGTCACCAGGTTTTAACTTTTGAAAAACTTGCTTTGAATTTATTGCCCCAACATTGACATTATCATAGAGTCCTGTATGCATTTTCCAAACCTAAAACCTAGTGACTATTGTACCACAAAAATGCATAAATTATTGTTTTTAATATGTTAGTGGATGAATTTGTTAATAGATGTCACCTTAAAAAACAAGCACAAGTGGGTTAATGAAAATGACAAGCACAAAGTGATTTGGGTGTTTAAATAATATTTTTGCAGGGGAGTGGATGAGGTATTGGTGGTGGTGATGGTGGATAAATATAATAGGATGGACGTACATACTGCAACAGGATCAAACTACCCTAACTCCATTCGCTGCATTGATAAGTAACTAAGCAACGGCTAACAAAACGGCTGAAATTGAACAAGGAGTGAGTGGGTTTCGTAAATGATCAGGACAAATTTACATTTTGACAATCTAAAAAAATCAAGTTTTAAGATTTCTTACAACAATATTTTCTAGAAGGTGCAACAAAATCAGGCATTTATAAAAATACCTTTGATTTGAAAATTGTTTAGGAACTGTCTAAAATGTCCTTAAATAATATCAATGTCCTAAACTAAAAATGTCAAAAAACCTTACTAAAAGGTCCCTGTATAGCATTTTAAAAAAAATGCCCTATAGCTGTCTAAAATGTTTTTAAAATGTCTTTTATACCGGGCAAAGTTGCAAAAATGTTAATGCAAAAAATAATACAGTCGTCATTTTTTTTTAATAGTAATGTTGTTTGAATACATTAATCATTAAAAAAAATTTGCAATGAGAAGTATAAATAAAAATTAACGAGTAATGTCGAACAATTTATTACTCATTAAAAAATAAAAAATGAGTAATGAGACCGTACATTACAAATTAAAAAAACATGTTACCCATTACATCAGTGAAAAATGATCAGGGGTTGGGTTGATGGGGTGATTTTTTGTATGGGGCATTTTACACCAAGACTGACAGTTTTAAAAATTTGATTTTCGATTTCTTTTATTTTATATATTTTTAAGTAGTAAAAATCCCTTTCTGGTAAAGTCATATTTTTTTATTACTCATTCAAAAGATATCAAATTTTCAAAACAATTTGGTTTTTTGCTGCCAATTTCTTTAATAATGGTCCGAATTGAAATTTTTATTAAAAAAGAAGTAATGCATATTGAAAATTAAGCACATTACTCATTAATTTAATAATGCAGGGCTCCCCCGGCTAAATTACAAATTTTATTTACTAATTTAGGTTTTTTATAAAATTTTAGGAGAAATAAAGTATGGAAATTAATTTCTTTAAGTATTTAAAAACAAATGTACACTACTTAAAAAAATAAGAAAAAAAATAATATTTCTTTTTAACAAAAATATAAATTTATATCACTTATATCACTAGTTTTAAGCCAAATCGCTCGACGAGTTTTTTTGAAAAAAATTAAAAGTGAGGTAAAATTACTACTTTTGTATATCTGAGGTACAAAAAATGCGTCGATAGATTTGGGTAAAAAACTAGGCCAAAATCAAATTTTAATATAAAAAATGTCAACCGTTTAGTTAATAAGTAACAATAATTAAATCGGTAAGATTAAAAACAGTTCAAGTCCAGAAGTTAAATTTTTGACAAAATATTTCAAAAAATCAGTTTTATAGTTCTAAATAAATGCATTTTTGTTAAAATATTTTAACTGTTTTATGAAATATAATATTCATATTCAGTAAAATAATTTGTATCTTCTCACAAAAATGTATTTAAAACTTTAAAATTAATTTTGGAAAAAGAATTGTCAAAATTAAATTTTTGGACTTGTTCTGTTCTTATTCTCACCGATTCAATTGTAATGTGGATCTTAATACTTAAAAATCTCATTTATAACAAAATATGTCATTTAAAAGAAAATTAAAAATGCTTTTGTTTGATATAAAACACGGCATATTTTTGTCTAAAACAATCGAAATATGGCTAAAAATGACAATTTTGTAGAAGTCTAGGACTTGGATTTTGTTTTATGGTATATTTTGTTGTTTTTTAAGAAAAATTTTGGTTGTAATTTATCATTTTAAAAAGAATTTAATAAACTATAACCTAAAAATATATAATATTTATTAGACTGGGCCAAAAAAATCGACTATTTTTTTTGGAAAGTATATCGAAAATATTGTTTGGTGTGACAAAAAAAAATTATGGTAAAAGTTTGAGTCCATAATATTAATATTAAGAGGTCTTTCATCGCCATTTTAATTTTTTTTCCTGAGCGAGTTTTTGTCTCAGAACTCCCATATCATTAAGTTTAACAAAATTGACTTAAGAATATTTTTTGAAGAAAATTGAATGCTCTACAAAAAAGGTTTGATTAGAATTTTCCGTCAGATGAACCCTTTTCTTACAATCATGCCTTAAAAATTGGTATAGTTTTACAATTTGATCTTTTAACTTTGGAATTTTGTAATTCAAGTAAAAATCAGTACCCTAAAAAAACGATAAATATTCTCAAATGCTCTACAAAAAAAGTCTTTTATAATTTTTGGCTAAATTCACCCCATCAAAAGTTATTCAAGGTTAAATTTGAAGTCAAAACGAAATTTTAACCTTGAATAACTTTTGATTGGGTGAATTTAGCCAAAAATGTTAAGAGGCTTTTTTGTAAAGCATTTGATTTCCCATAAGAATATTTATCGGGTTTTTTATGGGTACTGATTTTTACATGAATTACAAAATTGAAATTTTAAAGATCAAAATGTAAAACTATACCAATGTTTAGGGCATGATTTTAAGGAAACGGTTCATCTGACGAAAAAATTCATTCAACCTTTTTTGTAGAGAATTTAATTTTCATAAAAAAATATTTTCAAGTAAATTTTGTTAAACTCAATGGTTTGGGAAAAATTAAAATTGCGATGATAGACCTCTTAATAATAATATTATGGATTCAAACTTTCACAATAATTTTTTTTTGTCACCCCAAAGCATATTTTCGATATACTTTTCAAAAAAAAAATTGTTGATTTTTTTGGGCCAGTCTAATATTTATATTATATATTATATTTTTAAATTACTTTTTAGCACAAGGAAGCCCTGATAATGTGTATTGAAACCTTAATGTATTAAAAAAATAATGCATTATTTGCAACTCTGATACCGGGTCCTGTCCTGTAAAAATGTCCTAAAACTATCTAAAGATACTAGAGATGTTAATTTATTTCGTTTTATATTAATATTGTTAGTAGAAGAGCCCCACAAACACCTTTTGCAGTATATTGTTAAAAGTAGATATTTCTTAGATTTTCGAGCAAATTCGTCCAAAAAATTAACCGATGGTGGTCGCAAAAAAAAAGAGAGAAAGAGAGGTGGCGGTTCCACGATTCGACGACGAAAACGACGAGATCTCAAAGGGCAGGCTCGTCCGAAGCGTCCCTCCTGGTTCTTACCTGGTAAACTTCCCTTGGCGCGGCCCGCTCCACGAACGGTTTGGCGTGCCGCCCCACGGCCCCCGGCTGCTCCTCCCCGGCCCGCCGCTCTGTTGGCTGCCGCTCCACGGGCTGGGGGCCCACCGGCCCGGCCACGAGCCACCACCCCACGCCCACGGCCAGCCTGCTACAAAAACACAAAACGCACATCAGTATTAGCTAGTCCGCGCGACCGCCGCTCGAAAACGATCTCTCGACGCTCAAAGAACTTATATCAAAAGTATGTACAAAACATTCCGATAACAATTCGCTACCTACATACGTAAACAGTGAGACTTCTGCGCAGTACAATTGCAACATTGGTTTCACTCTGCGCAGAACCGTTCTCATAAAAAAGAACGCAGAAAAACACGAAAAAAGTTTTCGAAATTTTCCTGCGTAAATAAAAAATCTACGTTGTATAATAATATAAAAACGAATTGCATAACAATAGTAAATTAAAAAAAACGTAAAAATAATAAATAAAAGGAACACAGTATTTAACAATAATCATAAAAAGTTGTATCCTTTCTACCATAATCAAAAGCGAAAAATAAGTTCACGTACATATTAACACACTCAAATTTTATGTAATAGATATTCTCTCAAATATGTTTTGGTATTTTAAAAATTATCATGAAATCTGTCATAAAAGAGTGCAAAAATATGTAGTTTAACACCGAAAAGTACATCGAAGGTTAGATGGGATTATGGGAAAAAGGTAGACGGTAAAAAGTTATAAAAGTAGATTTTTTTAAAATTTGGTAAATACACACAACCAATTTTATATGGAATCACCCAGTAGTTACGAGAAACAGTATTTTATCCGAAATCGACAGTAGTTAACAATCGGCAGTAAAGTAAAAGAAATCGGAACTTTACTGCCGATTTAATACGAGTATTGTATGCCACCCATTAAGATGTGTCTACTGCTCCTCAGCGGCAACTAAATAATATTTTTAAAAAAAGCACCGTCGCGGAGGTCGATTGTACCCTTTCATAAAATGTGGTTTAATAAAAATAATAAGTCAATTAGAGTAAAAAATCACCGCGGCGGGCAAATATATCATAACCGTCGCAACAAACAGTATACTCGTACGTAGACACTTCCTACATTCAAATGACATTTGATTTGATCATCAATATTAATTATTAGTATTATTAAATGTGATTTCGGATAAAATTAAATATGAACCTCGGCATTAAAGTCATTTTTTAACGCTCACGTGGTTATTTGCCTCGGCAAATAATTTCCACATTCGTTATAAAAAATACGACTTTAATAAATAACTATTACTTTACTCTTAAAAAAAAATGATTTTAAAATAAAAGAAGCTTATCCTAACCAATGAATTTCTCTGGGATATTACATTAAATTAGAATTAAAAAAACCTATTATGGTTTTTTTAATTAAATATTATTTCTTCCTAAATTCTTAGTTGTTCTCTAGAAAATTTGTTTTAATACATTCTTCTTTATTTTTGTAATAAAATTGATGTTTTTATTTCCATATCACTTTTTTTAAATGGAATAATGTTTCTTGTAATTACTGGGTATTATTTTATAAATAATGTAAAATGTCAACCTAAACTAATATAACTTTATAGTAAAGTAAAAATCACAGTATTCTACCATAATGTGCAACAAAAAAAATAACTGAGGCATGATAGTATTAGTAAAAAGCACATTAAACCACAAAAGGTAAAACATTAAAAAGCCCGACAATAAAAAATACCATGATTTTAAAATTATAGAAAAACACACTTAAGTCAAAGGATACACCGGTGGGATGATAGGTAAGGGGCGGTCAGGGGGGAGGAGGCAGGGTTGCGAGATGTACGAAAAAATCGGCAGAAAGGATTTCAACAAACCTGTGTTCCACTGGCAACGTCGTAGTACACGCTGGACGATTTCAACGTGCCTCCATCATCCAGTTCCTAAGTGTTAACATAAAGTTAATTTTTTTTTTCGCCTTAATTCTATGGCAACACTTAGCAGCCGATGCTCTTTTTTTATCGGGGATATAAATGGTCATAATGTGACGGGGGACGGTCCGCAACCTGCACTGCGCTGAACCAGAATCTTCTTTGGTATTGTTTAAATTAAATATACAGGGTGCTCCACAAAAAAAAGGTTTTATAGCAATTTTATATTTTCAATTTTTTATGGTAGTAAAGTTAAGAAAGATAATTTTTTAGACAATTTGTTGTTTAACAAAAGTTTGTTCTGCATATTTTGTAATCTATTAAACTATAGTCCAACTCTAAAAATTTGGAATAAAATTACTTATACCTCAGCTTATGTGTTTAAGGGATTTTCAAGAAAATATCCTTAAAGCCCTTTTATTTAATAATATAAAACGCTTGAAAAAAAACTTTTATAGGGAAATTTTTTTTGAAGTAAATAAAAAATATGCTGTGAAAGACAAAGACAAAACTACAGCGATTCAAACTCGTCAAAAATGACCACTTTTTAGCAAAATAATCAATTTTACTGACATTAAAGCGCTGTATCTTCGTTTCTGTTCGTTTTATTTGTACAAAATGTTCAGGGTATACTAACAAAAATACGGTCTTTAACAGCATATTTTTTATTTACTTAAAAAAATTTCCTAAAAGTTATTTTTCGAACGTTTTTTTATAATTAAATAATAGGGTTTTAAAAATATTTTCTCGAAAAACACGTAAACGTAAAGTTGAAGTATTTTTATACAAAATTTCATAAAGATTGGTAAAGGCGTTTAGAGGTAGAATGCGTTAATTTTGATGCGCAGTGTATATTAATAGTATACGGCCATTTCAAGCGCGCGAAACGCACGAATTACAAAACTGTTTTTATAAAAAAAATTGTAGATTATTTATTATACAGTGTGTATTAAAACGAATAGATACACTTAAATAAAACAAGTGCCAAACCCCGCCCACTGTGGTAGGGATTGAAGTTATTTTCGTTATTTTGGAATTATTTTTGTTTGAGAATTTATAGGTTTTATTTTTATCGAATTCGTTTGTTTTGTTTTAATGCATTTCTGCAAATAAAAACTAAGTATTGTTTAAAATCCATTAAATTCCAGTTAATGGCGAAAATGTATTTCTTACAAACTATACACATTTCCCTACGACAGCGTCGGAGCTACTGAACAAACACAGTGCGAAACGCACGAATTACAAAACTGTTTTAAAAAAAAATTGTAGATTATTTATTATACAGTGGGTATTAAAACGAATAGATACACTTAAATAAAACAAGTGCCAAACCCCGCCCACTGTGGTAGGGATTGAAGTTATTTTCGTTATTTTAGAATTATTTTTGTTTGAGAATTTATAGGTTTTATTTTTATCGAATTCGTTTGTTTTGTTTTAATGCATTTCTGCAAATAAAAACTAAGTATTGTTTAAAATCCATTAAATTCCAGTTAATGGTGAAAATGTATTTCTTAAAAACTATACACATTTCCCTACGACAGCGTCGGAGCTACTGAACAAACAGTAGATCAAACTGCATGGCCTTGTATCTGGCTGCATGCCGCGCTGTTGCCTTATGCTATTATTGTTTCCTAAAAGGGTTGTTTTTCTTATTTTTTAATATATCTACCCCTGTTAATTATTGAAATTATCTCTACTTTTATAAAATATTTCTTGCGATTTTTTGTATTTAATATATAGCCTAATAATAGAAGAATATATTGGACAATTTTGATGCAAAAATAATATGTAATAAATTACCTACAACTTTTTTTATAAAAACAGTTTTGTGATTTGTCCCGTCCATCCGCTTGAAATGGCCGTATATTATGTATCAAGTTTGATAAACGCCATTTTAGTTACGAATTTAATTTAAGCATGAGCGAGTGCTTAATTAAATGAGTGCCTAAAAAAGTTTATCAACGAGTTGCATACTATACTTTTTTTACGGAAAATACTTAATATTATCTAAAAAATAATTTAAATTAAATTTGTGTATCTATACAAAAATAAACATCCCAATATACATTTTTGACGTAATTTTCATCATTATCATTGCTCGTTATTATTTTAATTAAACTTAACAATTATCGATACTTTTTCTGTTTCAATTAAAATTTATCCCTAAAAATATTAAGAGCAAACTTTCGTGAAACGACAAATTGACGAAAAAATTATCTCACTTTCTTAGATGTGAATTGGAACAAATTTTAAAATATTTTAGTTAAAAATCTTGTCACTTTTCAACTAAACATATTTTTTAGATTCCTTCCTGAACACCCTGTAGACAATTTGGGCAGTAGACCACCACTTTATTCAACTATTAACAATGTAAATCAATTTTTTTTGAGAGGATCTTTGTTTAATAGTGTAATAACCTGTGGTGGCGTACTTACCCGCTAGATGTCGCTGGCGGTGCGCAGTGCAGAGTGCGCAAGGTCCCCCTTCCTAAATCTATCGATGCGGAAGCTCTAGAAAAGGGTTATCCAAAATATAAATTAAAAAAAAAAAATAATGTAATAAAAGCTCTCCCGGCCACACAGCCAAGGCTAAGCCAAGCAAAAAAGCAAATTAAAAAGCAAAGCGTCTAAATAAAAAGCACTATACAAAAAAGCCAAATAAGTATGTATAAAGAATAGGTAAATAAAAAAATAAGGAAAAATAACAGTAAAAAAGCGCACTTGGACGAATTGCAATATTATTTGTGACGACATGGATAATAGACAGACACACAAGCTGCAATCTTCTAGACACTTGCGTTAAGCTTGATATAAACTTAATAAAAATTAAATAGTAATAAAAATGAAAAAAAAAAAAGGTTAGTCGGCGTGGCGCGCCTCTTGTCCCTCGCCACCCATAAAATTGGATAACCCTGCAACTAAGAGCACATCATATCTGAGGCTGGCACATCATCCGGTCGTCATTGTTTTTGTCTGTCATCATTGATTTCGTCACTTTTCCCGGCGGCTTCGTTTTTTGTTTTTTTTTCGAACTTAGAACTGCGTTGGCTCAGATATGATGGTATTTAATTGTGGCAAGTGCGGGGCTGTGGTTAATTCGGCTCCCATGCATTCCTGGCAGGCGGTTTTAGTTTTGGGGGGGGCGGGTTAGAGTGCATTTGTTAGTGGCGTTAGCCGACACTGTGCCACAATCAAACAACCGCATATTTAAATTAAATTAAATTAAAAAAAAAACGTTTTAAATTTGGCCACCCACCGGTTGTGGAGTCCGGCCTCTCCCTCTAGCTTGCGTCGGCGGGTAATCGTAATAATAATCTTCGTACCGGTAATAGTCGTCGTAATAGGGATCGCTGTAGCCGCCTCTATAGTCCCCGTAACCGTAATAGTCGTAATCGTAATCTATAAAAACACAATAAAGTCCCAATTTAGCCAACTAGGTTCAATCGAATGCCTGGGTCGTACTACTGTTTATAGCATGCCGGGAAAAGAGTCAAGTAACGATTCTCGCCAGAATCTAATCTAATGCCTTTATTACATACCACACAACTCAATTTATTATCACACTGGTCGACGGCCGTTCTGCTGCAAGGTAGAAATCAATGTAATTTGAGCACGGTGATCATCATTTTGCTCAATCAGATATTGTGAACGAAATGCGAACCTTTAATACAAAGATTTTCCCAATCGAATGCTTTAGCATTGATATAGTTGCATATTTATAACTTGAACACCTAGTCATCAATGTGAGGATATAACTCGGACATTTGTATTGTAAGGGACGAGAATAATTTTAATGTACTATGCTCCAAAGTGGTTATGAAACGAAAACTCAAACAGTTTTGCATAGGCATACGCTATGCACGGGTGTTTTACTACGATTTCTTTTGAGTTTTATCCGAAATTATTGGTTTTTCAAAGTTTTTACTGCATTTATTAAACAGTATAATAACCACGCACGGGTGTTTTATACCAGGTTATTTATAAGTGTGTGTTATACGCTAAAGAAGTATCGGGTTTTCGCAACGCGCGCGCCATCTGGTGGACTTCGATAGCATTGCTTAAATTTAATAACTGTCAACAATACATTTAAAGCATACGGACTATACATCATTTTTAAATTAATAGGTAGTTTTTTCACAAGAGAGAGAAAGGCATTTGTGTTTTACGTTGCAAGGAAAAAATTTAAAAACTTTTTTAGTACCGTAAACACGGGTGGCTTTGCACCCGCGGGTGACTTTAACCCTTTTATGAAAAATCTTTTCGCGCTCGATAAAATTAACATTTATAATTTGTTGGTCTAAACCTGTCAATTGAGCGATTCTATTGAGTTTATATTACAGGAAAATCAGTGTTTTAAAGAAATAAATGGGATTTATTACAGTTTAAAATTGTATATATTGCATCAGTGCAAAACTCTTAGAAATACACGCGTTACAATTTCTATATTATGCGCAATCCTTTGGAATGATGATCCTTGGTTAATTACAGGTCGATTTTTAATTTTTTTATCGGTAATCCCTTGCAATAGCTATATGTCGCTACTAACATGTGTCTAATAAAAGTAAAATAAAATATTTAGTTAATTTTATACGGAAAATACACTGTGAGACAAAGTTACCCGCAACCAGGGGGTATATGCACTTTGAATGTCCAGGAATTTAAGAGGTTTTTTGGAGAATTTTGGGAGAAATATGCAAATGAATTTCTACACTTAACTTAAAAAATAAGAAAAAAATACATAATTCTTTTTAACAAAAATATAAATAAATATCACTTCTTTTGTACAAATAAGTTACATTGACTAGATTTTTAGCCAAATCGCTCGACGAGTATTTTTGAATGTAATTAAAAGTGAGGTAAAATTACTACTTTTGTATATATCTGAGGTAGTAGAAATTTCACCAACTTTTAATTTTATTTAAAAAACGTGTCGATACATTTGGCTACAAAACTAGGCAAAGTCAAATGTTGTTATATTCATATTTTGAGAAAAAAAAATGAAAGTGAACTGTTTAGTTAATAACTAACAATAATTGTAATGAAGATCTTTACGCTCAAAAATCTCATAATAGAAAAATTATAAAGTTTGCATAATACAGCAAAATATTCTTTAGAATGTTTACTATTTGAGCTATCATTTAAAAGAAAATTAAAAATCCTTTTGTTTGATATATATACCGTGTTATATATAACACGGTATATTTTTGTCGAAAACAAAACGAAATATGGCTAAAAATGACAATTTTGTAGAAGTCTAGGAGCTACTATAGAGATTTTGTTTTACGGTATTTAGGTCGTGAAATATCATTTTAAAAATAATAACTTTAACTTAAAAATATATTTTTTAAAATATTTTTTTTAGCAAGACAACAACCTTAATTAAACGCAGTAAGGTTGGCCTATTTATATTTCATTGGTACCGTAGAAGATGCGCCTTAGTTTAAAGAACAAAAAGTTTTTGGACAAATGCTCCTCATTTGAAGAGGGGGAATCATTCCCCCTTTCACCCCACTCTTTTAGGCGTTCGGACGCACGGTATACAAATTAGAATGTTTTTTTTACAACATCGCAAAAACAAAAGCTGATTGAGCAGAATGATGATCAATTACCTTATAAAAGTTGTTGGATACACTGCAGCAAACGGAAAATTTATTTTGTCGGCCCGTGTTGTTATCATTATCATTATTATTATTATTACGCCAGTTTATCGCACAAGATATGTATGTGCAAACAACATATTACTACTAACAATGAATATAGAAAGACAGAGTATAGATCAACAGAGTCCCTACACCACAGCTTGGTACTTACCCCTTGCTCCTCGCTGTAAGCATAACAAAATATTTACAAAAAAACACACACAAGTGAGAGGAAAAGACGAGAAAATACAGGCATGCAGGATTTTTTTGTTTTTGTTTTGTTATTCAAAAAAAGAGTCGGAGCCGCGTGCAATGCTGTACGATGCCCTTGCCTTGCGGTGCCCCCGGCTGCTCACATGCATTCTCCTTCAATAATCTACACCAGGGTGATTAAAAAAAAAATCGAATATTTTTTTTACTTCCGACACTGATAAATTGGTTCTTGGACTTAATGTTAATAGGAAGATCCTCATCACAGTTTTCCATTTTTTCTTTTGTCCCTTACACAAAAGACCATATTTTATTATTAATCAACGTTTACTCAAATCTTTATACATATTTTTGTAGGCAATCGAAGGCTCTACAAAAAGAGAGTAATGTGTTTAAGCGATAACTCTAACCATTTAAAAGATATTCAAGATCAAAGTTTGAAGATTTATGAAAAAAAAGTAATAATTTTTAACTCATTGAAAAATAATTATTGTCAAATTAGTATGACATATTTTTGTAGGAAATGTAACGCACTACAAAAAATGTATGAGGTGTTTAATTGATTATTCTAACCAATGAAAAAAAAATCGTATCCGAATCCCAATACGAATTTTCTCAACGGTTAGATTAATCAATTAAACACATCAGACCTTTTTTTAGGGCCTTCAATTTTCCAAGAAAATATGTCATACTTATTTGACAATAATTATTTTTAAATAATTTCTGAAACTTTGATCTTGAATATCTTTTAAATTGTTAAAGTAATCGCTTAAACACATCAGTCCTTTTTTGTAGAGCATTTCATTTCCTACAAAAATATGTATTAAGATTTGATTAAACATTAATACTCACAAGCAGCATTTTAAGTAAAAGCGTAGAGTTCTGAGGCAATATAACTTAATTTAAGTAAATATTTTGTTAAATTAACCTTACTTTGAAGTAAAACTTTTTTTAAAGTTTTATTTATGTTATTTTTACATATTTTAATAACCCTTAAGTTTCAACACTTTAAAGTATTATGAGAAACGTAATTTTTACGAAAGAAAATTACTTATAAGTGAATTTCACCTAAAGGACAATTTAACGGTAATTTTAACGTCAGAATTTTTACATAATGGTAAATGTCATAATTTTACGATATTAAGACCACTGGTATTTTTAAGTGTTATTAGTGGTAATAAATACTATTAATATTGACTTAACAAGGAAAAATAAGCTTAAAGTAAAAAATAAAAATGTAATGGAAAAATTTTTTTTAGGTCGCCATAATGAGGTTTTTAAGATGGCATCCATTACTTATCTAAACATTTATATAATAAGGACAGTTTTAGTTATAAAAAATTATTAAAACTAAATGATTTTAAAAGATTTTATAAAATTTTGTAGGTTTTAAGTTTTGTTGAATTTTTACCCAAGCAATAATTTTTCTTAAAACCGTAAAATATTTAGAGGGCATATAATTTTTAAGATGTATCGTGCCTATTTTTATCAATAAAATAATGCGCGTTTGAGTTTTAATGCAAAATATTATTAGTTTTGACAATTTAAGTTATATTTTTTAATTTTACTCTAGGGTGGCCTTTATTACTTTGTAAGTACCATTTTGTAAAATATAAATTAAAAGAACAAAGAAATTACGAATGTCAATGTTTTAGTAATTATAATGTTATTTTTACGTAAATTGGTTGTATTTATAATGTTTTTATTACGTTATTCTCTTAGTAGATCAAAAAGGTTATTATGTAGGTAAAATAACGAAATAAACCATTCCCCAAATTTGGTAATTTTTCGTATCTATACCGATATAAAACCGTTTTGGTTAACCGTAAAAAATACTTTCAAGTTGACTTAGTAGTAAATTTGTAGTTATTTAAACTTAAAATGCTGCTTGGGATGAAATATGGTCTTCTTTATAAGGCACTAAAGAAAAAATGGAAAACTGTGGTAAAACTCCAAATTTTTTTTTGAAGTATTTAAAAAAATGTTGTTAAAGACCGTATTTTTGTTAGTACACCCTGAAAATGTTTTAAAAATTAAACGAACAGTAACGAAAATACAGCGCTTCAAAGTCGTCGAAAATGACCACTTTTCAGCAAAATAATCAAAAAAAGGTAATTTTTACCGACGCGAGCTGTATCTTCGTTACTATTCGTTTAATTTGCACAAAATTTTTAGGGTATACTAACAAAAATACGGTCTTTCACAGCATATTTTTTATTTACTTAAAAAAATTCCCTAAAAGTTATTTTTCGAACGTTTTTTATTATTAAATAAAAGGGCTTTAAAAATATTTTCTCGAAAAACCCTCGAAATTGAGATATAAGTTGAAGTATTTTTATACAAAGATTGGTAAAGGCGTTTTAGAGTTAAAATTTTTGTGCAGGAAGTACAAAAATATTCGATTTTTTTAACCACCCCCTTCTACACACTCGTATTACGCGTTTTACTGTTTTTATTAATACTTTGTTTCAAATAACCTTCTCGCACTTCCATACGCTATTATATTGTTGTCACGCATCATCTACAGGGGTTATTAATCGTATTAAATATACTACTACAACAACATGTACTTTTAGACCTGAAATAAACAACTCAATGATTAATATTAGAACATAATTATTATTATTATTATGACGTTCCCCGTCAACTTGCAGTCAAACCTTAAATAATACCAGACATACTCAATAAAAATTAGTGTGATGGAAAACTAATGATGTGTTAATATTTTGATTAGTTAGCTTGAAAATGAATCGGTGATGACACAGTTAGAAAGCAAAAGTCCAGATTGTTAATATTAATTAATTAAAAAAAAAAAAGTGGTACGTGGCAACTTGTCACATTAAACTGATTTTATGTTTAGCATACTCTTACATTTACATGTGGAATAGTTACTTGACTAACAAGCAGACTAAGGACCGTAATGTGGTAATCAAAAATTAAAAAAATGGATTGACACGTTGTTATTAATTAATATTATTATAGTGATGTGGAGAGAGCTCCACTTACCGTAATCTCCCCGTCCCATCGGACCCCTCATACTAGTTCCGCTTGTTCTGGGTCCCTGTCCAGGAGGTCCCCTCAAAGGCATAGTGCCGGGCATCATTCTGTCAAATTTCAAACTCAATTAATACCACCAACTTTAACTGACAGTTAAAGTTTGTAGAGTTTCCTTAATTGCGACACCCTACTGGATCGGGAAACCTTATTGTTATCATTATTATTAGTTAGCTCTACAGATAATCAAATCGCAAGTACATTACATCGAAGTTGAAAAGAGTTATGTACCTATGTTTGGTTTTAAAGTGAAACTTCTTTGCGGACGAGGCAAACCAAAATTTGACGTTGCGAAAGATGAAACGGAAAAGTAGTTAAATATAGGTGACTACGGCCCAGGAGAGACAATAGGAATAATAAAGCCACTGGGCGTTAATACTTGTAGTAGCTTAATAATAATTGTAATGTATATATTATCCAGGACTATTAATGATCAGTAACTTGCAAATTGAAAAAGGAAAAAGTTTCGTGATTATTGCTGATCTTTTTCAAACCAAATGGATGCTATTTTCAAAGACAGGAAAATTAACTACCAGATTTTTCACAAAAAGGTTGAACCTAACAGCAAATAATTTTTATTTTTTGTTTTTTATTTCCACCTTATTTATTAAAATTTCAAAAATTTTTGATCTGCTTAGATGAAAATAATGTTAGAGGCATCGAAATGAAGTTTTGCCCTTAAAAGTTTTTTTACTTTAGAATCTGATATTATTTTTGTCATATGAATTTAATCGGTTAAATTAGACTCAGTAGTTTTTTGTTTGGTTTTTGTTGGAAAATGTTGAATGCAAAATAATTTAATAAAATCACGAGACCGCGTAGCGGTCAAGGGGTTTTATTTTTGATTATTTTGCATGAAACTATTTTCCAAAAAGAAAAATCAAATAAAAAACTTACTGAGCATAGTTTGACAGATTAAATTTATAGGTTGAGTGATATACGTCTAGATTATTTCTCGAATTAAAGGAAACTATTTGACAATTCATAAAATCTGACGTATGTGTCAAAATTTATAAATATTTTTTTAAAGAAAATTCCATTAATTTAAGGTATGTAATAAGTAATAATTGATATTTCGTAAACTAGATAACTTATTTGTTATTGGTTTTTAAAAAATGTTTGTTAAAACTTGTAAATAACACCATAAAATCGTAAACAAAAATCCAATATGGAGGCTAAAATTTAATCGCTGTTAAATAGTTCTAGTGATTTAATCGCTTATTTAAACGAAATTTATTTGAAAATTCAAGGCTTTTGATTGGTTCATATTATAATGAGGGAAATAATCCTTTAAATAAATAAATTTTTTTGAAAATTTCCCAGTTTTCCCGGAAATTTTAAAACGCTAGTTTATGGAAAAAAATATTTTACATTTCTTAGAAAATTTTATTCTTGATATAATTTTTTGCTTGATTTTAAACCCCTAGATATAAGACATAATTTTTATTGTCTGTGGTTATTTGCAATTTTGATTTTTCTTAAAATTTTGGACTGAACAATTTTCATCGAAAATCTTTTTTTGGTCATTTGTCATTTTCTTTCGAACAAATGAATATTATTAATTTTTTGTTAAAAAAGTACACTTCGCATCAAAATTAACGCATAAGAAGTAAAAAAAATCCAAATCTAAAACGCCTTTACCAACTTATAACTCAGTTTACGTGTTCAAGGGTTTTTCGAGAAAATATCCTTTTATTTATTAATAAAAAACACTCGAAAAAAACTTTTGTTTTTAAAGTAAATTAAAAATATGCTGTGAAAGGCGTATTTTCGTTAGTATACCCTAAAAATGTTGTACAAATCAAACAAACAGTAACGAAAATACAGCGCATCAAAGTTGTACAAAATGATCAATTTTCAGCAAAATAATCAAAACCAAATCATTTTTACCGACTTTGAAGAGTTGTATCTTCGTTACTGTTCGTTTGATTTGTAAAAAATGTTTAGGGTATACTAACAAAAATACGGTCTTTAACAGCATATTTTTTATTTACTTAAAAAATCCCTAAAAGTTATTTTTCGAACGTTTTTTTATTGTTAAATAAAAGGGCTTTAAAAATATTTTCCCGAAAAACCCTCGAACACGTTAACTGAGATATAAGTTGAAGTATTTTTTTACAAAATTTCATTAGGCGTTTTAGAGTTAGAATTTTGTTACTTATTATGCGTTAATTGAAAAAGCAAAAACTTTAATTAAACAGGTCAATAGAACTTTTGAGATTTAACAAATAAACAAAAACTGACCAGGCATTTTATCAAAAAATTTTCAGAAAAATTAAAATTGCAAATAAACCATAGACAATAAAAATGATGTGTCATATATTCTGTGGTTTTTAGCCAAGCATAAACATTTATCAAGAATAAAATTTTCTAAGAAATGTAACCCCTCTTTGTAACTCCATTTTCAGTGATACATTTTACTTGCAGGAAATCTTGAAAAGTTTACTTCAAAGAAATGATTCATATTTCTCATACCATAAGCCGATTGTTACTACCTTAGAATTAAATGTCGCAATTTCTGATGTAACTGATAAAAATGATGAAAACCAATCCACACAGGACAATATATCAACTACAATTTAAAACCCAAAAATTAACCAAAAAAAGGAATAGTAAAACCACTAATGCGAGTGTGGGATACAAATAAGAATAGATATACTTCGTTTAAATAAAAACATGAGCTGGCCAAATAGTCTGAAATAGAAGAAGAAAAACACATTTCGAATTTAGTTAAATTGTCCAAAGAAGTTTCACTTCCGCTGTGTTGTCTAAGCGCGCACGTATTTTTTTTAGTTAGTTCTACAGATAATCAATCGCCACTACATTATATCGTCTAGATGCAAGAGTTGTTTGTTTTTCACTTACCCTCCTCTGACTTGCATCATCTGCATCATACGTCTTTCCCTAGCTCTTAAAATTTCTTCCTTCTTCTTTTTGTCGGACGGAGGTTTGGCTAAAGACACTTCGATGTTCGATCCTCCCATCTCTTTTCCATCCAGCTCTTCCATTGCCTAAACACATTTCGTTCATTTAGGATGTCTCTCAACACTGTTAAGTTTGTTTTTGAAAAACTTAAGATATTTAAATATCTCAAAATGAGAACAATACCCAAGTAACACAGTAGGTTTTATTATAGTTGTTTTAATGAGGTTGTCGCAGCTTTTATAAATCCTCCTTTGACACCTCTATAAAGCTAAATGGTAGTTAAGTGAGCTTTATGGTTTCCTTAGATGAAGAGGTCTATAAAGCTCACTAAATATGCTTTTATGTAGTTTATAATAATATTTTGCAACAATTTATCATATTTGTTTTTATGGTATTACATGGAAAATTGATGAATGATGAATTTTAATCAAATTAAGTTAAAATAACCTTGCAAGAATTTGTTTTGTTGTTAAAAATGCTTTACTTAAATGATTTAAAAATAAAAACATATCCATATTATGAATTAATTAATATTAATTTTTTTAATTAATTTTAATTAACATGAGCAATTTTCATAATTATTTTACCATAACATTTTCAAGTACACAAATATGGATGATGGAAAAATGGTGGTCATACGCGTTTAAGAGCAGTATCTCCTGCATTAGGAATTAATAAAACCTATTTATTCTATTAAATCCGAAAAATTATGTCATAAAACCAATAGGCAGTTAACAAGGTTATCACTAGAGTGTTTCTTTTAATTTAAAGCAACATTTCTGTGTTTTAATCGAAGTATTATTACGAATACGACGCTTGAAGAAGTTTTCTTCGACACCATTTTTACTTTTGCCTTTCAAACCGGGACAAATAAATCTTGAGAAGCTAGCACACAGGAGTATAATAAAGCAGATTAAAGTATTAAAACATACTTTTTAACAACCAAAATACTGACATAAAGCTAAATAGGTTTTAAGGGTTTCTAAAGTAAATATGGTTTTATAAGGGTATAAATTCCCATCCCATAATAAAGCAAAGTTAAAACTTACAAGCGTAATAGGCGTTATGGTTTTAAAATTGGTTTTGTTGTGTGTAATAAAGCTTTCTATTAAAGTAATATGGTTCTAAAAACAATTAACCTTTTTAATAACTCCCATAAACCCAAACGTCTTTTCAAAGAGTGTGATAAAGGTTTTATATAATATTTAGGTAAAAGCCAAGAGTTACATGTGTTACTTGGGTTAAGCCCGTTTCATATAGATGCGAAATGCGAAAAATTCTCCCATTGGCGGGAAAAGCGTTTCTACAGATTTGAATCTAGGAGGCGGGAATCTTGAGATTAATCCAATATTTTGAGAAAATCGCACTAATTTGGCGTGTTGCGCAAGCCTTTCACATGCTCACATGTTTTGTTGAGTTTAAAGTTTTTTTTTGTTTTATTTATGTTTTATTAACGGACAAAGAGTTTTTTGAGGTACTATGCTCCACACCTCAAAGTCCCACCAAGTGACCACGTACGGAACGCAGTCTTTTGAAAATTTGGCATTCAAGGCTTTTCAGTTTATGTATCTGTCAAAGTATAGTCAATGAAAGAAATATTATTTATATTTTTACCGCTTATGTTTAAGCGTTAAAAGTTAATAAATCTTTATGGTATCACAATAACAATGGTTGGTTTAAAAATTTAGGAATATAAATACTGCATTTAATGAAATTCCAAAGTGTAAGGTGCAATATAAGTTAAATTTTTGTGCATTGGGTCTACATTTCTCCATAAAATAGTTTTAACTAAACAGCATCCATTATGAAAAAAGAATATCTGTATCAAAGGTTAATGTATAAGAACAAAAAATATCATCTAATTTTGTATTTTAAGGTTAGAAAGATCTATCTTGACCAAAATAAAGTGGATTAGTTAGAAAAGTGTGTTAATATGGTCATAAATAAATATAGGTATACTAAATAATTGTTGAATATAGTTCAAATTAAATTGAAGCTTTTATACTTCTAATGACAAAACTTGTGCATACCTCTCAGCATACTTACTTTAAGTTAGATTATAAGAAAACAAACAATTTTTAGAGAAACTTGCAATGTGAATATATTTAATACTCCCATGACATGTGATTTATTAAAATTTTTAAAGTTAATATGATTTTTTGATGTAGATCAAGTTCAGTCGAAGCTTTTTAACTATTTGTATTGACTAAACTTTATGTAGGTAGGTACACTTTAAGCTTTTAAATAATCCAAAATACTGATTTATTTTGGTCAAAATAAATTTTTCTAACCTTAAAATTACAAAATTAGATGATATTTTTGTTATAATATATTAACCTACCTTAAAACAGATATTCTTATTCCATAATAGAGAAGCTAGATTTTTTTTAATAAATGCTGTTTAGTTAAAATTATTTTATAACCAGATATTTGGACCAAATGCACAAAAATATTACTTATTTGGCACCATACACTTTAGAATTTCATTAAATGCAGTATTTATATTCTTAAATTCTTAAACCTTCCGTTGTTATTCTAATGTTATAAAGATTTATACATTTTTAACGCCTAAACATAATATTATTTCTTTCGTTGACTATACATTGACAGATACATAACCTGAAAAGCCTTAAATGCCAAATTTTCAAAAGACTGCGTTCCGTACGTGGTCACGTGGTGGGACTTTGAGGTGTGGAGCATAGTACATTAATGTTTCTTATTTTACCTGTAACTTTACTATTTTAGTACCTATATCGCCTAGTTAGAAAACAATGTCCCTAAAATAGTTCGCATCTATATGAAACCGACTTAGCCTACTTCCGAATGTTCGCATCTGGTAGTAGTTACCTTGACGGCATTATCCCGATCTTCGAAGTGGATAAAGGCGTAGTCCTTGATCTTCTTGACGCGCTCCACTTTGCCGTAACCTTCGAACACCTCCTTGAGCTTCTCCTCGGTGATGTCCTGCGTGAGATTTCGCACATACAATACCTTAACCTTGGACATGGTCTGCTCGTCGGGCTCCTCCTGCGGATCAGCCCAGTCGACGATGATATCACAGCCCCAAACTTTAATCCTGCCGGTGCCGAGGCGGCGCTTGGCCAGCGACGCCGCCTTGTGCGATTCGTACTCGAGAAAGCAAAAGCCGCGGTTCTTCTTCTTGTCGTCCGGCGAGCTGTATATGATCACCTCCATCAGGCCGGCTGCGTGCACAGAAGAATTTCGTTAGATGCAAATCTGCGCGGCTCGCCAGGCAGATTGCAATTTATTTGTTGGACGAGCACCAAAGTCCATTGCACACTAATTACTGATTACTAAGGTAAGCGTTCAAATAAATACAAGGTACAAGGAGACGATTTTCAAACACGCTAACCTAAGATGCAGAGCGCAAATTACCCCACAAAATGACAAACGTAGGACATGTAAACAATTTTGAGCAATTATAATACCCTTTGGGTTTTACAGTTGTTAGGTTTAAATATTTTTCAAAGTTTCAAAGTTTTTAAGCGTTTTAAACAGTTATAAGATAAGTTTAGGACATTTTAGGCAAAGGGATGATAGTAGACGCCAAAAATTTACATTTGTGTTATGGGCGATTCTACAAAAGTTGAACAACTTGATGTGATCAGTCAATTGAGTAGGTATTTTAATATTTTTTGTAAATATTTTAGTATATTACAAAAGATCCAGGTTTTTTCATATTTTATCATAGATTCGAATAGCAATTTTTAAAAAATTGATAATCTTTGTACTCACTTTTCCCCGTCAGTTCTGTGTCCAATATTAAAATTCAAAATTCCTCGTTTTAACTCAAGTGTTGGTAAAAAAAAAATACCTACAGAGCCCGCCCTTTGCATGACAGCCATCTTGAAAACAATGCAAGCGGCGAAGTTGTGGTGAATGCACGTATAGTTCCAGTCAAAATTTCAGTACTGTGGTGAGTAGTTATTTTCTTACGTATATATATTTCATTGTAATTTATATAAGGCTATATGTGATTTGTTGATAAGTAGCATCCACTTATAAAAAATATCAGTAAAATACTTAATTCCGAATTATAATCTCAAATTTGTATCCCATTCATCAGTACCATGTTCGATGTTTCGGTTATCTTTTTTTCGCAAACTTCAATTTAAATTCTGCTTGCGCAGAACTTGTTTATTTAATGCCATTATAAACTCATAAATTTGGTGTGGGTTCCATATCTAATAATTGGGATATCGGTATACCCAAAATCCACCAGCCGCCACTGATGTGTGGTATTATTTGATTTTAATATATTTAATGTATAATTTGCTCAAAGTTGCAATAAATCTTATATTTTCCAATAAATTATGTATTTAATTAGTACCCTAGTATACTGGTCACTTCCCTTGCATTCAAATTTAGAAAACAGATATTTCAGAAACTGTTTGAAAAAGTGACTGGCCCGGCCTGGAACAGTATATTTATTATATTATCTATGTTCTCATAACAAAATACTGTTTAATTTTCCCCGAAAACTATATAAACAAAATGAGGTCAAAAGTTGCTCAACTTTTTTAGAATCACCCTTATCATTGATTTGTTGATAATTGTTTTGGATACTCAGCTATTTTTATGTACTTTGTATAAAACAATACTTACTTTTTATTGTTAGGTCTCGAGGTTTTCGTCGATTTTAAATTTCAACTTTCACTTTTTACGTCGATTGATGCTCATGTAGCTATTTTCTTAAGTGTTCTACAAAATCATAATAAATGTTCAACTATACCGCCGTTGTTATCCACACAAAGTAAAGGTAAAAACAATGATGATTTATAGGATAGGTCAGTGACATCCAGTGGCTCCCTGGTCTTGTCAAAAAATCCTATATATTTTTTTAATCTTTATTTTTTTGGCGTGAACTATCATCCCCCCAAGAATGACAATTTGTTAGGTGACACTCTGTATTAATTCCATATTTGAAGAGTTTTTACAGTTTTAAGGCATTTATCATAGTTTTAAACAATGGGGTTGAAAAATTCAGTGCGAAACTACTTCTATTTTAGGAGGTGTTATGGAAAACACTTAAGTAATTTTAGAATATTAATCAGTAACTCGTTTAAAAGAAAAAATTTTGTCAATTTTGGATTTTTAATTTATTTAAATGTTACATTGCGCTAGTCGATTCACTCATGGATAACAAAAGGTTAGGTTTCTGTCACTTTTAGTAGAGTTGAGGTTAGGATTTTATTACTTTCAGTAGGATTAAGGTTAGGTATCTATCACTGATAGTATTTTTGAGGTTATTTACATCAAGCACTTTGCTATATGATCATGACTTCCTGTTGGGTTGCCAGATAGCATTCAAGTTGTTATTCTTTCTTTTTTTAAAATTTGGGAAAATTTGGAAAAAATTAGGAAAAATGTATTAAACTACAGTTGTTACAATTGATACCTATCCTAAAATTAATTAAGTGTTTTCCATAACACCCTGTAGAGATTAGTCACTTAAAACAACCATACTGTTGAAAAAAACTATTTTCCATAAATTTTTCCTTCACGTGTAAAATTTTACGAATGAAGCATATGCAAAAATAAAAAATTCTAACATAACGAAACTCTTTGACAGTTACACTTGTTATAAAACCATTAACAGCCTATTTTAGTATAAAGTTCATAAAATTATTTATAAAATTTAATATTCACACAACTGGTACGTACTTTTCCTCGATTTTCAAACGATTTAAATACTTTAAAGAATATTGAACACGCTAGAAACAGATGTTGGATTCGTAATTCTTGATAACATCGTGAGATCTCTCTGTAAGTTCATGGAAGCGTTTTGAATCTTGCAGTTTTTAAAACACTGTAGCGTTCTCAAAAATTATTTGGAAAACGTTTTAATAACAAACGCCGTTTTAACATTTATTAAATACTTTTTTAATTTTAAAATTTTATTGGTTTAAAATTTTCCCAACTAAAAATTTTAGGTTTACATTTATAAATTTAAAATATTTTCAACTATCATGTATTGAAAGACAAAATTTACTAACAATATTAAACAATATTATTTCCAATGAATTTTGACAAAAATTTCATTTTTTTAATAAAAATAATTTCTTAAGTATAATTTATTTGAGCAGAATTGTTTAAATTTTAAATAAATATTTTATAAAATTATTTAGATTAAATTGGTTAAGTTAATTGACAAGACATTTAAAATAAAAAACAGTAAAATTTTTTAAACTTAAAAATATTCGGAATTAAAAAATATTTTAAATATAAAATGCAAATGTAAAAGTTTAAGTTTAAAATATTGGTTTAATAAATTCTAGTTTTAATATTTTACTCTTCAAAGTTATTGGTTTAAATTTGTAAAGTCATTCAAATGATATTCCATAAATTTTTAATACAAAAATGTCCACATTTTATTTAAATGAAAATTTCAAATTTTAAAGTGGTAATTTTTGGATTAAAAATTTATCGACCATCATTTAAATGACTCTTGATAAATTTAAACCAATAACTTCTATTCTGACTGCATATGCTGCAGACTGCTAAAGCTACGTTTACACTTTGTAAATTAAAAATTACCGACTTGCATTTAGATATAAAGTTAAAAATGTATCGATTTAAAATTGACAAAAATAAAAATCGACCATCATTTAAATGACTCTTCACAAATTTAAACCGATAATTTTGTAAAATAAAATAAGTGACAAAAATTTTTAGAATCAATATATAGTTATTTATAGTTATTTACATGGTTTAATTAGATTTAAGACGGTTTTATAAACAATTTAGACAACATTATACCTCTTGTGTCTTTTTTATACCAATAATGTCAAACAATAAAAAAAAATATTTTGAAGTCCTACGCATGCATTGTGGGATAATTGTTATTGTAAAATGGTCTCCGTGTAATAATACTTGTAAACAAAAAAATCATAATCGTTATTTGCTTGCAATGATAGAAAAAAAAATAATAGTAATAATAAAAGAGATACTAAAATTAATCAGATGCGCAGCATGTTACATGTATAAGTATAGTATAGTAAGTAAGTAATGTAGTTGCGTTACCAACCACCTGGTGGCGCAGCACACTGGACCTTGCTACCCTTCCGTGCTTGTAGCGGCCCTGCCCTACTACCCATTGCTCAGGCGCAGACTATCACATTCCATTACGGGAGATATATGTTTGGGGGTTCTTTCAACTTACGTGCATGTTTGGAAAACTCTTCCAAAAGATCGTCTCGATCCCGGTTCTTTGGTATATAGCCGACAAATAACCGGTGATTGTTATAAGATATGGTTACGCCAATCTTTTTGCCTTTCCGTATCTCATAATCATTCAGCTGCAAGAACAGTGGAAGGGTAGCCAATTATGTGCCATGGCAATAAGGGTGGGATGGGCAGGAAAGGACTGAGCCCGGCAGCCGGCCGCCACTAGCTACTGATCTGCACTTTACCTGTTAATTTACCAAATTCTTCCAGAATCTCCTCTTTGCCTTTAGACTTTGGTATGTTGCCCACGAAAAGCCGAAGGTTCGGGACGCTAATGTTTATTTTCAGCGTCTTGCCGGGTTTGATTTCGTGATTATCAAGCTGTGGGGTTAAGAAACAAAATTCCACAAGTTTATGGCTTGGTTAGATCAAATCTTAAATTTAGACAGTTCACTTTTTAGCTCACGGTTTACGAAATAAACAAGATATATGCTTTACACTTTACGTCACTTCATAAGCTCAAAAGAAAAAAAATAATAATAAAATTATTATTAGAGTAGGTATTTGTTAATAAAGTTAAAGAACCTATTTTATGCAGTCATCTCAATTTTATCATTCATTGAAGAAATTTTGATGTAGGTATTAACAAAGTATTAAAATAAATTGATGAATTTTAATGAATTACATCTACACTTCAAAATTAACGCATAATAACGTAAAATAATTCTAACTCTAAAACGCCTTTACTAATCTTTATGAAATTTTGTATAAAAATACTTCAACTTATATCTTAGTTTAAGTGTTCGAGGATTTTTTAAGCCCTTTTATTTAATAATAATAAAATAACTTTTGGGGATTTTTTTTAAGTAAATAAAAAATATGCTGTTAAAGACCGTATTTTTGTTAGTATATACTTTGTACAAATCATACGAACAGTAACGAAGATACAGCGCTTCAAAGTCAGTAAAAATGACCCCTTTTTGGTTATTTTGCTGAAAAGTGGTAATTTTTGACCACTTTGAAGCGCTGTATTTTCGATACTGTTCGTTTGATTTGTGCAACATTTTCAGGGTATACTAACAAAAATACGGTCTTTCACATCATATTTTTTTATTTACTTAAAAAAAAATCCCTATAAAAGTTTTTATATTATTAAATTATAGTTATTTATGTATCAAGGCAGTAAAGTCGTATTCTTTATTACGAATGTGGCTTTCGCCTCGGCAAATAACCACGTGAGTGATAAAAAATGACTTTAATGCCGAGGAATGTAGGAAGTGTTTACGTATACTGTTTGTTGCGACGGTTATTACATATTTGCCCGCCGCGGCGATTTTTTAATCTAATTAATAAAATTAACTTATTATTTTTATTAAACAACATTTTATGAAAGGGTCCTATCGACCTCCGCGACGGTGCTTTTTTTTTAAATATTATTTAGTTGCTGCTGAGGAGCAGTAGACACATCTTAAAATGTATAATGGGTTGCATACAATACTCGTATTAAATCGGCAGTAAAGTTATACATTACTGCCGATTGTTGACTACTTTACTGGCGATTTCGGATAAAAGGATATTTTCACAAAAAACCCTTAAACACGTAAGTATTTTTATCCAAAATTTTATAAAGGCGTTTTAGAGTTTTTTTTCTTGTTATGCTTTAATTTTGACGCGCAGTGTAAAATAATAAACAATATTTAAAATAAATATTTATTAATTAATTATTATTAAATAATAATTTTTTTAACAAACATTTCTATTTCCGTGGGAAAATTTGACGTGATCAAACTGGAAAGCACATACCTTATATCTCCGTACCGTGATTTTTTTATCAATTAATTAATTATTAAGGACTATCAACAACATAATAATTTAGGTTACCAAATAAACAATTTTGCACCAACACATAATCATTAATCAACACCTCTGCTGTAATTTAGAGACCCTTTATATATTTTTTGACGTGTTATGTGCACGGAGATTCGAGAATATATATTTTGACTTTATTCACGTGCAAAAAATTGTTTGTCTGTATTGAAATGAAATGTATTATCTGTGTATATTTTGGTGAAATTTTATAAAAAATAACACTTAAAACGTCAAAAAAATATACAGGGAATCTACTAAAATTTGGAATAATGAAAAAACTGCGGACCATGCTTCGACGACAATTTTGTAAAAAAATTACTTTAACACCCACAAAGATTTCGGACTTGACTCGATAATATCTCGATTTTCGAAAAAAATACCACCGCTACACCCAAACCAATCAATAATAATAATATAATATGCACTCTACACTAGGGTGTCCCTTATTTTTATTTTTTTTACGCATACCCTCTAATTATATTTATTACTTGTTTATATACTCCCAGTAAAAATTTCAGCTCATTCTATAAACGGGAACCCGTGCCGACTTGCATCTAAACCCTCCGTTAGCCAACGTTAGGCGCGCGCGGTATTTTGTAACACGAAACACTTTAAAAAGAAGATATACTTCATGACTGTATTTTTCTAATGATTTTATTAAATATGATTACTAATTAATTTTATTGCTTTTGTTTCTATCATTTGTTTCACTAATTTAGTTGATTTAATCCCTTAAATATATTAATATACTAATTAGTATTGCTAAAATATACTGTTATATAAAATTTCAGCTTTTTATAAGCATTTCTTTTCTTGATGTCCTCCCAAAAATATTTCAGACAGTTCAATAAGTTTTCGGTAGTCATCTCTCACAATAGACTCTTTAGAGTAAAACCCATTAAGTTTATCAATTTCAGAGTTAACGGCCTATTCACCAGACCCTTCCGGGTAACTAGCCACTCCCTGTGAAAATATACATTTTTATCAAAGTATTCACATAAATAAAATTATATTTTAACATTTGTCAATAATTTATGATATAAGGGTCACATAATAACAAACACAAAATGACTTACGATCGAAGACCTCGCGACCAACCGTGTTAAACAATACCGCGCGCCTAACGTTGGCTAACGGAGGGTTCAGATGCAAGTCGGTACGGGTTCCCGTTTATAGAATGAGCTGAAATTTTTACTGGGAGTATATAAACACGTAATAAATATAATTAGAGGGTATGCGTAAAAAAAATAAAAATAAGGGACACCCTACTCTACACCTATGTGACTACTTCGAACAAAAATTTACTTCCGGTCTCGATTTTGCCCCTTGTGCAAAGAGGAGACCTGTAAAGGAAAACTATAAATCCAGCCAAACACACACCAGTATGATAATTGTACGATAATTGAGAGCCAATCGCGACGCAACGCGGCACTTGTTGCGTCTATAAAAAATAAAACAAAATTTTGACAAAAAATAAAAGTAAAGAAAACATTCGAGGGCTCTGATTGATGATGAGGAGGATCAGATAAGCTACAAGGGGGGAGAGATAGAGAGAGAGAGAGCTGAGTATGCTCCGTGGTCAGAGCCGCCGTTGCAACAAAATTCGATTCGTTTGCTCAATTGTTTTTGCGGGCCGCTGTGACAACAGATGACACACGTCACTATAATACAGATAATGCCAATTAACACAAAGGGTGCGAACGCCTGCGTGACGCGCATGCGCGCGTTCGCACCCGCACGAGGTCGCCAAAGACCACGCTGGCAAAAACAAATGCGCGCCCTGGTCTTTCGCAACCCCAACACACAAAATTTTTCAGGTAAAGTAGTAAAAAGGTAAAGGATTCTTTTCGAGGGGTCCTCTATATTATTGATCGATTGCGATCAATGGACTATCAACATTTTTTCAAACATATCTTTTAAATTTAATGTATGAACTTTGCAAATTAATACGTTTATGTAAAATCGGAATGTCGATTGCATTTGTCGTTTCCAAGATATTTAAGAAGAATGGTTGTTACGTCACAAATAACATTTTCCTTAATTTTTTTTTAAATTTAAAACATTAATTTTACCAATTTTCATGTTTAGTTAATTTTTAAACTCTGTAAAATGTTTCAATTGCACAGCTAAATCGCGCACGTTATTTGTGTTTTACGTTGCAAGGAAAAAAACTAAAAAACTAGTTTAGTACTTGATTTCGATTGATTATTCTTTATATCATTGATTAAGAAACTCAACGCTTAAATGCTTATATAGTTAAGTTAGTGTGTGTATTTTATCTAAGGGATCATGGTGAATTATTGTGTTTTTAATTGTAAATAAAATTCAAGAACTAAATCGTTGCATTTTCATGTTTTGCCAAATAGTAGAGGATCCCAAGTAAGGTCGACCTTCACCCATCTGCTTACCAGATGAAAATTATATTTTATCAAATAAAATATGTTTCTGAACATAAACCAATAGGGTTGCCATAAAAAATATGATCAAGGCTAGCTATAATAAATAAAAAATTAAAAAAAAAATAATTAATTATTTAAATTTCACCGACTTGCTTGCCAAATGAACGAAATTCCAATGGAAAGCATACAACATACAGAATATGTAACAGCTAGGTTGCCTACCTTTTTCTGGTCCCTATTACCTGGTTGCTTTGTACAGGGTGATCCCCTATAATGTCGCCCCCCTTTAACTTTTTTATTTTAAGTGTCCCAAAAAGTTTGGTTATGTAGGTACTAAAAAATACTTTTTTTCTACGTATAAAGAAAATTGGAAAATTGATCAGTATACAGGGAAAAACAAAAAGTTTATTTTTTTTCAATGGATCACCGTATATATGAATTTATTTTTCGATTCCTTGTAAAATTCTGAGCATAATTTATATAACAAACCATATACCTAAATTCAACCGTTTCTGAAATATTCGCATACGAAATGTCATCATTAAATGTTTTTTTAAACTGTTAGAAATCAAGAAGCCTCAGTATACCAAAATTTTTATTGAAAATAAATTACTATAGTGACAATATGTCAATAAGTGTTGTTAAATAAGTAAAAATGGCGTACTCAGACAGATAAAAACAAACTATTTAAACATATTATCTTAAAAATAATTTAAATATTTCAGAAACGGTTGAATTTAGGTATATGGTATGATATATGAAATATGCTTAGAATTTTACAAGGAATCGAAAAATAAATTCATATATAGGGTGATCCATTGAAAAAAAATTTTTTTTTGTTTTCCCTGTATACTGATCAATTT